GGGTACATGGATCTCACCACGTCGTCCACCCTGCCGGCAGGGATGGCGTTAACCCCTGGGGACACTGTGGTGACACCCTCCATCCCCCCCCCCGAGCCCCGGGACTCCCCCTGTCACCTGGGGCTGATGCGTTTGGCCACCACGATGATGTCACCCAGGCTGGCGGGTGACTTCACCCGGGCGCCCGAGCCCATGGTCATGGCCACCAGCTTCTCCGTCAGTGTGTGGCAGATCTGTGGGGGGGTTGGGGGACAACGGGAGTGGGGACACGGTCGACTCGGTGCCACCAGTGCCACCAGTGCCACCCCCTGGACTCACCTTCAGGATGGCGATGCAGTGGGACACCAGACCCCTGGGGAGAAGGAGGAGGGCGTGAATCTGGGCGGACCCCCCTGTCCTCGCCCCCCATGTCCCCCCCCACCTGCCTGCTCACACCCCGTGTCCCCCGGACCCTTGGGGACATTCCCACCCAGAGACCAGCTTGAGGACTGTCCCTTCTTGGGACTGGCCATAGCTTGGTAACCCCAAATCTCCGCTACCTGCATCCCGTGATGGGGGGGTTGGCACTGCATGGAGGTCGTCAGCAGTGGAGGGGGGGACATGGGGCACACTGGGGACACACACACACTTACGAGGCGTCCTCGACCCAGTCCTCGTTCTCCAGGATGGCCTCGATGTGGGGGTTGGTGATGACCACATCGTCCAGCTCCAGCTCCGAGGGCTCCGAGGGTGTCTCGGCGGTCCCCATCAGGTCCACGATGGGTCTGTTGAGGACATGGGGGACATCCCTGGGGATGGGGCCACCTCCTCAGGCTCCCCCCCTGCCCCCAACACCCTGATGATGCTGCATGTGTCCCCAGCATCATCCCCTTGATGATGGTGGACATGTCCCCAGCATTGTCCCCAGCCCATGGGGTTCGGGGTCCCTCCCTGACCCCCCCTCACCCGGTGGGGACAGGGACGATGCCACCCCCATGGGATCACTCACTTGGTGTCGTAGTGGTGCCGGAGGTCTTTGGGGTGGCAGTACCGCTGCCGGCAGACCACCACCAGTGCCACGAAGGATGCCAGGAAGATGGTGGCCAGCACCCCGATGGCCACGATGACGACCGTCTCCATGGCTGGTCCCCGCCGGGGGTGGGGTAGCTCAGGCGTCTGGCGCCATCTTGGCACGGTGGGGTCTGCGGTGATGGGGGGACCGGGGAGGGGTTGGGAACCCCACAGATGCTCTCCCCGCCCCCCCCGCACCCCAAAATGCCTGGCCAGGACCCAGTGTCTCCCACTAGATGGATCCCTGCCCCAGGGGGTCCTTCCAGAGGCAGTGTCACCTGGGGGGGGGGTACTGGGGGGAAGGGGTGATGTTGGGTGCAGGCTGGAGCAGGATTCGGCCATGGTACATGGGGGGGCTGCCCCCATCCCGCCACCATGGCCATGGTGACATGGGGCAGGAGCTGGGATCAGGAGAGTGAGGTCTGGGCCATATGGGGCTGTGGGGACCCAGCCCTATGGCACCATGGGGACCCCCAGAGCCCAGTCCTTATGGGACTATGGGGACCCCTGAGAGCCTGGTCCCTATGGGGCCATGGGGACCCCCAGAGCCAGTCCCTATAGGATTATAGGGACCCCAGAGACCGGTCCCTGTGGGGCTATGGGGACCCTCATAGCCAGTCCCTATGGGGCTACAGGGACCCCAGAGCCTGGTCCCTATGGGGCCATGGGGACCCCCAGAGCCCAGTCCTTATGGGACCATGGGGACCCCCGAGACCCCAATCCATACAGGCTATGGGGACCCTCACAGCCAGTCCCTATGGGGCTATAGGGACCCCAGAGCCTGGTCCCTATGGGGCCATGGGGCCCCCCCAAGCCATCCTCAGTGCAGCAGCGGGGTCTCTGAGTCCCCGTCCCCATGGGGAGCAGGACCCCCAGCCATGCCAGGCCCACGGGACACCAGCCCGGGGCAGAGCCGGCTGGGACCCCCATGTCACCGCACAGGTCAGAC